TAGGAAGGGCTGGGCGTGAGGGAAGGGTCTTGCTGGTGAGGCTCAGCAGCTCTCTGAGAGACAGCAAGGTTCCCCTCCATCCTCTCAGGCTGAGCTCTGCTCTGCTCTGCACAAACACTTGAGCAGAAGCACTCCCCGCCGTGCATGTCTCCATGCCCAGACTGATGGCTCCTCAGCTGAGTCCACTTAGATCTCAAGCAACTCTCCTCCATCTAGCACCAACTCATGGCCCCACTCAGCCATCCCTACCCAAACCGCAGGGTACCCCCACATCCACCCTTTGCAGCTGATTAAAGGCTCTGCCACTGGGCAAAGCACAGCAGGAACATGCTTTCCCCATGGGAAGGTGGCTCTGCATGTGACATGGGCTGTCCCTAATCTGGGGACGATTGCACCAAGCCCAGTGGGCAGACAGGACCCTTCTGTCACCTCTAAAAAGACAGCAAGACCCTAGGGGATGCTCCCTTCCTTCATAGGGGCCACATGGAGGACACTGGGCTTGAAGGGACCAGGGAGCAGAGCGAAGAAGCTGCCCTTGAATAGTTAACCCAGGCAGGGCTGACTCATGCTCAGCACCAGATTTCTCCCGAGATGGCTGAACACCACAGCACAGATGTCTCTGAATGCCACGCTCGCAGCTGAACAGTTTAACATGAGCCAAAAGTCAGCCCTGAGGTTGGGGTGAGTTACCTGTCCTGCCACTGCTGCCTGCCGAGATCAACTGCCTCCATATACCACCACCTCTACACGTTCCACAGTGGGCAACGCACAGATCCACAGCTATAGCTACTCCCTCGCTACTCCCTCTCTTCCAGATCTGGTAAGGTTACAGTGCCATGGTAACCTGTAGGTATAGACAGACTTATTTATGCTTGATCAAAAAAGGAACAACAAAGAAAAACACCACAACATTCCAGTTACAGTGAAAAGCTTCAGTACCCAGCGAGCTGAGGTGCACATCAGGGAGTGAACTCGGTGATCTTCACCAGTGACTCCCACCATTTTCACCAGGCTTTTTGTTTTGAACCCATAGCATTCAGACTCCAGTTTTAACCTGTGGATGTCAAGGGGTACCTGGGAAACTGGAGAGACCAGGGAGATGCCTCCAGGCCAGTGCTGAAGGACTGTCCATGGAGGGTGATGCTTGAAGGAAAGTGCCTTATAACAGCCTCTCCTCTTGTGCTGCATCTACTCTGTGGATGAACAAGGACTGCCAACCCAAAAATCCTTCATGCACAGCTCCAGAGATGGCACAGCCGAGCTAGCTACTGCTCAGCCACCTCCTCTGCAAAACAAGGCAGTTCTTGCAATCAAAGGGAACATGGCCTTTTTTTGTCCTTGGTCTCATTTTCTGCAAGGTACCTAGGGAGAGATCAGCTCCAAAAACTACTTGCCTGGGTATTTTGTGCCAATTCAGCTAGTATTAAGGGTTTAACTGAACTCTATGTCTATTAAAAATGCATAATGTCCACTTATATCAAAAGGGCAGATTCAGACCCAGTGCTTTTCCAGCACGTCCCAGGCTACCTGCTGTTATGGCATTTAGGAGATGGATAGGAAGGAGCTGTCCCTTGAGGCCTATATCAAGAGGTAAGAAAGGGCACGTTCATTGACTGTTTCAGGGCTGGGTGAGAGAGGGGAAAACAAAGGAAAAGAGACATAAAAACGCTCCTGCCACAAAACCTAAACACATAAAAACCCAGAGAGAAGGGAAAGGAGATGTGCTGCACCGGAGATTTATAAAAAATTATGGTTGAGCAGTAACATTTCAGGCTCAGCCCTGCATCCGTGCCTCCAAAGACTCACAAAGGTGAAAGGCACTGGGAAAAGTGTCAAAGAAGCTCAGGAGGGGCATAGACACATACAGAGAGGCACTGCTGCGTCCCTCCCCTGCCCGAAAATTACAGCCTGACTCACTCAGAGCTCCTTTTTATGATCAGAGCAGCAGAACAATGGTGCAGAGACGCTGCTCTGACATTTTCCAAGGTTGTCCCTTTGAACCTTAGCATATCGGCTTGTTTGCATGCTGGGTACGGAGTGGGCCGCATTCACCAGAGCCAAATTCCAGGAGAGGGCAAGCCTGCCAGCAAGAGGGCTGTGTATGGGAGGAGAGGCTCAGGCAATTCCCCCGAAGGATTTTGGGATAAAGGGGGAAGGGTGTTGTTTGCCTGGAATCCAGAGCGCTTCACAGAGGATGCGAATCTGCAACACGCAGCATCGCTGTTGACAGCAGTGTATGTAAACAGAGCAGTATTTTCCCAGTCCCTCCCCCTTCTTATTATAGCACAAAATATCCCGAGTAAAATACATACACACAACAATCCACTATAAAAGGAAAACAAAGCCCCAAGCGTGTGCACGCACACACACTCATAGGTATTCTACCGGAGAACCTAGCGTATATTCAATACCTTAAATGTCATTTTTTTTAAATATTAATGCTGTGCTTCTGGCTAGGTTTATGTAAGGTTTATTACCACAGGACTGGCAGCACAAGAAGACCTAAACTCGATGCTCACAGCCTGTTACCCTCTGCCCGCCCCAGCCATCCTGGCCCACTCCTTGACCGTGCTCTGCCTCCCCCTTCCAGACCCCAAAGCCATTTAGCAGCGCCGGGGCAGACACGCTCCCACCAGGCTTCTTTCCCTGGAGGGAGCAGAGCTGCGGCTCCCTTTCCCCCTCTTCCCCGCGCTTGCAGCTCGCCATCTGGCACTGTCAGGAGGATCTCTGCTTGGAACCGCGCTGCAGCCAGGCACAACCACGAGTGGATTCCTCTCTCCGGCTGAACAGTAACCTCATTAGCCAAGGCAAAGGGAAGAGCGCGGGGGCAAATATTCAGCAAATAGCATTTTATGTTGCAGCGGTGCATGGACAAGCACAGTGCTGGGCGCTGGAGGAGGCAGCGTAGCAGCTGGAGCAACCCAAGGGCTGATGTGGTCCACTTTTTCCTGCCTCCCTTGCTACCCCAGTCACAGCTTCACTCCTTCCAGCAGCACTGTCTTGTTTTCAGGCCTCAGGCAGCCTGAACTACCTTGCCTCAGGCTTTCTGGGAGTCTCCCCAGCCCATAGGCTGGACTCTGGATTATTGCTGCCTTGTGGTGCCAGACCTGAGATACAACTATCTACAGATAGATATCATGCAGATGAGAAAGACCTCAGGCTCTGGAAGAGGCCATGGAGAAAAAAAACCCTCCAAGTTTGGCTCCTTTGCCAACCTGACACAATTCCCCTTCCTCCCACAGGAGGGCTGAGCAGGAGCTGCTCATCACTGATCAAACCCACCACTCGTGTGAACTCTCCAGGCAACAACACGCCTCAAGTTATTTACAATGCTCTCTTTAAGCACCACTGGCCATCCCATGCTCTGAAACGGATCCTTGCTTCTGCTTTGCTTGACATGTGCAAAAGATCCTCCAGCAAGCACCTGCTAGCCCGGTTATTCCTCTCGAAGGGCCTAACGGAGGCCAACAGGTTTTCAAGCACAGCATAAGCTTCTTCTGGAGTGCAGCAACACATTCTGCTATTTGCACAGACCGTTCCCAGCACGTGCTGCTATTGCCCTTGTTGCTGTGCTACAGCTGTTCTGCTATTTGCACAGACCGTTCCCAGCACATGCTGCTATTGCCCTTGTTGCTGTGCTACAGCGAGCAATTACCAGCCTCTTAGTCTGCTGGGCTTCAGTAGGGGGGAAACTGGTGGATAATTCTGTGACACATCTACTCTACAGCCAAGGTTTCTTTTTCTTCTGGTAAAGGTACAGCAAGCAACAATAAAAGCGGTCATCCCATCCAAAATCTCCTTATGCTCCACTCAAAAGAGTCTATCTCATGGGCTTCACCTACACAAGCTATCAGAGATGCTTCCCCATCACTCAGCTCAACTCAAGGCTGGTTGCAAGAGCAGGCTTTGGATGACAGACACCTGATATGATGAACATCCAAGAGGACCTTTGGAGGGGCTTCATTCCTTGTGTACGGACCATCTTTATCTTGAAGCCAAGACCTGGAGACGCTCTCTTCCCTGGCAGCACTGCCTGTCAGGAGCTGTTTCACCCCACCAAGGCTCTTTACAAGCATTTACACACCCTGATGCCTGGATTCAGCATGCGCTCAGGATGCTCCACAGATACACGCAATACACATTTAGGGTGTGAGCAAGCATTGGGGAGACCAAAGGAAAAGCCATGTTGATGCATCAGCAGGTGGTGCTCTCCCCTTCAAATCTGCAAACAAGTTAAGCCTTAGCCTGGCATTTCACCACTGGGATTTCCTCCAGCAAAGATATCTCAG